TTAATTTCCGTCTACGCATCAATTAGAGCGGGTGGGTGGAGAAGTGAGTCTTTGCGCGCATTTATAAACGTGTCTGCAGGCGGACTCGGGGAGAGAGCGCACGGGAGCGAGTAGTTAGCGGTAGTGCTGGGGAATGGCTATACAAAGGCGAGGGCGGGAGAGGGGGGGGCTCTGGGACAAAAGGTGAAAGTTTGCATAAAAACAGCCAGTCTTGGATTGTACTCGTTTAATCGTGCGATGGCTAATTAATCACACAATAGAAATTCTATTATGATCAATATATTGGCTGTATGTACGTGCTTGTGCTAAATGTGCCTATTAAGACTATGAAATAAGCATCGGTTGCCTTGTAGTAATCAGACTAAATAATGGTGATGAAAAGGAGTTTAAAAGGTTTGGGTAGTAACGCTGTTTTCCGTGGAAAAGCTCGCATATTTCAACAGCTCGGTTCCCTGTAATATCCCCACGCTAATTAGTCTCCGATTGAATTAAAGGGTGGATGTTGGAGTTTAATTAATTATCTGTAGAGTCTATAATTACATTGGTTTTAAAAGGGAGGACCTCCCTCGCGTGGTGGGCGTCTCCGCTAAATGAATGAAAAGGAATTAGTCCGCTGCATTTAGCACGTCGGATCCACTCGACGGGTATTTGCGGAAAAGAGGAACACGGGGTGAAAACTGTTGTAATTGTTCACGGTGACACTTTCATCAAGGTCATAATTGCTTTGTCAGAGCGTTTCATTTTCTCATGTCATGCGCTGTTAACGCAGATTTTTTTTAAACGAATTAAAGAAAACAGGTTTTGCATTAAATTGGGCGTGATTCTTTTCCCTAGTGGAAACTCCATTTGAAATTAAAAGCACTTCCTGAATGGTCCCAGATTGTTTTTCTGGACAGATGAACGTATCGTTACTCACCGGTAGATGTAGTGGCACAAATACTAGCCTAATTCTAGGAGTCACTGATAGATCTGTTGCGTGAGTAATGCTAGTGACAAGTGACTGCACAGAGAGATCAATATATATAGAACCTGCTGTATCAATGTAAAGATTATCCAAAGCAATCAAATAAACTTTTTGAAATATATGGTATGTAATGAAACGAGGCAATCATTTTTTACATTTTTATTTTATTTTATTTATTTAAGCAGCGTTTAATTACACTACGCTAAGCCACGTAAGCTAACCGCTGGCCAGAATCGCGCCTATTTTTAAGGTCCTCTTGAACGTAAAGGTGCACCCAGTCTGATTTTGTTCTCTCTCTCGTTTCTTTTCGTTTATGCTCTTCTGTCGGTGGTGGACAGGGAATGTGCCGTGTGGTTCTTGGAGGTGTGGAGGTGGGGTAGGGGGTTGAGCAGAGTGTCAGTGTGGAAGATCGATGGCATTTCTGCCGGGGCGTGCAGTGTGGGGGTTGGGCTAGTGCTCTGTAAACTGAAGTGGGACGAGACGGGCTGGCAACGGGTGGGAAAATGACGGGGGGTATTGAATGGTGAAAGCGGAAGAGAAAGAAATAAGTAAAAAAA